GAGTTATTATACAACCTTTTACATTTGTACAACCAATACAACACAATCTCAACTGTCCATTTAATTTGATGAATTTGTGATTTCATATAAATTTTGATTGTTTCATAATATAAAGTATTGATCTTAATTTGATTATTTATGAAAGATGACTAAGGTTTATTAATTATGATTAATACCTTATATTATGAAACAATTAAAACTTTTATGAAGTCACATCTTCATCAAATTAAATGGACGGTTGAAAGTGAGTTACATTGGTTGTATAATAATATATATATATATATATATATATATAAAGTTTTAGATTTACATATAAATTTCATGAGTACAAGATCAACCATTTTATTTTATGGTTTTTGTCCAAAGGATTTGTAACATGGGGTGTGAATTAAAGTTCATGAGACTTGACTTATTTTCCTTCAATTCCTAATTTTAGAAATAAATTCAGATTGTATGGCCTGCTGCCTCTTTCTTCACCTACCTATATATAAAAAAAATACATCTCTAAACCACAAGAGTGATGTCCGATTGGTTTGAGTTTGAGCTCCAAATGTCAAAAGTGTCTGGAGGTCCCAAGGAGAAATAAAAATCATTTTGTGACCATAGAGGTTCAAATGCGATGACTCTAGGCCACCTGCGAACCGGATGGTCGTCCTCAAATTAGTCGGCTCGCATAGCGGGTTGGATATCCAGGTTAATAGAAAAAATACATCTCTATATCTATATCTATATTTAACATGTGAAATATATATATATATATATATATATATATATATAGTATATTTCAAATGCAACCATGTTTATTTGTACAACCAATGCAACTCAATCAATTGAGATATTTATGAAAATGACGAGAGTTCATTTATTATGATTTGAATATTATAGAAGATGAATAAAGTTTATTAATTATGATCAATAATTTATATTAGGAAACAATCAAAATATCTATAAAACCACATATTCATCAAATTAAATGGACGGTTGAGATTGAGTTGTATTGGTTGTACAAATGTAAAGGGTTGTATAATAACCAMCCCCTCTCTCTCTCTCTCTATCTCTCTCTCTCTCTCTATACATATATATTTGCAAACCACGTTATTTGTACAAACCGTACAAACCTCATTCAACCAATCATAATTTTTTATTTTGTTCGGTTTTTTGTAATTATGAGAGATTGATTAATCATTTTTATTGTGGAGAGTGTTAATCATGGATATTATCATTTTCATTATTTTAATTTTAGAAAAATAAATGAAACAGTTTCATTAAAATTTCATTAAGTATTATACGAAACAATTTCATAACCATATATGAAACAACTTCATAAAAAAATATATTATATGAAACAATTTCAGAAAATTAAACAATTTCATAAAAAAAATTCATAAGATTAAACAATGAAATCGACAGATGAGGGTGATTTGCACGGTTTGTACAAATTGGATGGTTTGCATTTGATTGCTCCTCACTCTCTCTCTCTCTCTCTCTCTATATATATATATATATATATATATATATATATATATATATCTTTGACAATATCTCAGGGTTATTATTCATGAAATTGTAACAATTTGGTGTTTATAGATATGTTTGTTCTCTCTCTCTCTCACACACACACACACACACTCTCTCTCTCTCTATATATATATATATATATATATCATTCAACAAATTATTAACCATTGAATAAATGTGAAACAGTTGATAATTGTGACAACAACGAAACAAATGTGTATTATATAACACATGTTTCACTTTTTTTTATAGTTGTCAGTATTTTTGAAATTCTTACTTAATTTGAGATATATACACACACACACATGTATATAAAAGATCACACGAGAAGCTAACTAACTTGTAAGAAGAGGAGAAGAAATATAACTCACATAATCCATTAACTAAAGAATAACATAATTTTTTTTTAGAAATTAGAATAATTATAATTTTCTTTAATTTAATAAATTCATAATTATTTTATAAAAGTTTTATATAACTTCTTTTTCTAGATATCTTTGATAAGAAAAAGTTCAAAATTTTCACCAAATATTACATATGATATCTACGATTGATTCATAATTTTCTTCACCATTTTGCTTCTAATTTTTTTATCTATGTTTTGGATCACATGTAATAAATTTCGTTTAACATATGATCTACTATGTGAATTTTTGTACATATCATATATAATAATATGCGTCTGAATATAAGTGATGTATCATCACATGTGATAATATTTACATCACAAAAAAAATCTATAAATATAAATATACACAATCACATATATATATGATTAACAAAAATATATCTACGATTACATCATATGATTAACAAAAATTTCTAAAATTATCACATATGAATTTATCGTAGATATCACATGTGATATTTGATGAAAATTGTGAAATTATTTTATTAAAAATTTATATAAAACTTGATAAAAAAAGTGATTAATTAATTAAAAATTAAAATATAAATAAATCTAAAAGATATAATGAGTTTTTTTAAAGAATTTATCCAATTCAAAATAATAATTATTCTAATTCCTAAAATTATTTTTTATTTTTTATTTATGGTATTTATTAATTAATAGATTGTATGACCCATATTTCTTCTCGTCTTTTTATAAATTAACTGCCTTCTCATTTGAACCTATGACCCTATATATATGTATAGGGTGGGGGTGGGGGTGGGGCATAATTAAATTGAACCATAAAAAGGCTAGAACTCATAAGAACTATTAATCATATATATTTTTGTTAAATTGTAAGACAATGCATGTAGCGATACGGTGTTATTTCACAATGTGAAACAAAAAGTAGGAAAAACACACATTAAATATTCTCACATTGGAAAATAGCAATATACTTTCAAATGTATTGTTTCACAATATGTGAAACACCACATGGAAACTAAATCTCACTGTTTCAATATTTTTGTGTTTCTCATTTGATTTTACGAGAACAACGATCAAATAAGAGAGAACGGGGATGACCAAACCAATACAAAAAATTAATCTAAACTCATATGAAAAATCACATGTGTTTTGGCTTCAGTTTATGTTGCTTCTTACATAACACGTGTATTGTTTTCTTCTCTATACCTGTTCTCTTTTTTAGGTAATATATTGTTGTTTTTCTGGAAAAAAATAATAACCATGTGGGTTTTGTTTTTTAATTTACAGAGTTATGAAAACACTTGAGCGTTATCAACGTTGCTGCTTTAATCCTCAAGACAACAACAATGAACGAGAAACACAGGTTAATTACATCTCTAACAAAACTAGAAAACTTTGTGTTGTTGAATACAGAGTTCTAAGCTCATATGATTATGAATGATTGTTACTAATAAACTAACAAAGCACACCCTATTTATACCCTTATTACATAAGACATTAACAAACAGTGTAAAACAGTTAAGCACAAGGACTTGGATACAATTTTAGTTCCAACAATGACTTTTAAGCACTTGAAATCTTCGAAAAACTTGGCTTTCTTTCATCTTCAGATAAACAGCTTCACTTTCATCAAATTTGAATTTTATCAAATTTTTTTGGTTAATTAAATCTAATTTCTCTGAGTCGTACGTAGAGTTGGTATCAAGAAGTTTCCAAGTTGAAAGCGAAGTTTGAATCCCTCCAACGCACCCAAAGGTATTTTTGAAACCATTTCACTCGGACTTACTTTCTACATGGACTTTTTCGTCGTTTGATATTTTATTCGTGTTGAAATTCAAAGACATTTACTCGGGGAAGATCTTGGACCGCTTAGCGTTAAAGAACTACATAATCTTGAAAAACAACTTGAAGGGGCTCTCACACAAGCACGACAAAGGAAGGTAATTAATTCAGTTAGAATTAACTCGCTTTTTCAATGGTTTCAGTCTAGAATCGTACGCTGGCTTATCTTTTAAATGAAATACTGATCAATCATAAATCAATTTGACTGTATGGAGTTTTGAAAATGTATGCAGACACAAATCATGGTAGAACAGATGGAAGAGCTTCGTCGTAAGGTAAAATTCAAACAGATTTAATTGTTTAAAAGCCAAATCTTGTATATATCGAGAAGTATAATGTAAAGCAACTGACTATAAGTATAACAGTTTCGGTAATTCAATTTATCTGTTACATAGTTTTTCTTGTAAATGTATAATAAAACTGAATAAATTGATAGGAACGCGAACTTGGAGACATGAACAAGCATCTAAAGATCAAGGTCTCACATGAGTTATCAACGGTATGTTTTTGTTTATCGGTTTTCACATGAGTTATAAACATAAGAACTAATGCATCGTGTGCTATTTCACATGATTTTTTTTTCTATATAGGGCTTAGATTTAGTGTATTCATTAACATATATTTGTTTCATAATGTGTTTGTTTCATATATATTCGTTTCACAATGTGAATATCTTTTTCGTGGTTGTGAAACAAAAAATACAACTAAAAAGTTTCTAATTGTGAAACGAATACATATGAAATAAACACGTTGTGAAACGAATACATTAAATCCAAGTTATAGATAAAAAAAATCATGTGAATTGTGTACGCACCGGTTCTTAAGGCTATCACAATTTATTAGGTTTTCAAATGATTAAATCCATATATATATATATATGTATATATATGTATATATATATGTATGTATATATATGTATATATGTATATATATGTATGTATATATATGTATGTATGTATATATATGTATGTATGTATATATATGTATGTATGTATTGGGAAAGTTCAAACAAGAACACCTTCATTTTACAAGAACACGAGAACACCCTTTTAATATAGACAATCACATGTGATACTATTATTCTATCACATATGATATACATGTGATACTAAATCAGAGACGTGGACGATTTTCGATGCGATCTTGGTTGCGGGCCAAATCACCCTTACACCACTAAGCCCCCTCACATGTATTATTATCACATGTGGTAAGGATGTTGTTGATATGGTACTATAATCCATCAAGACGCATACAACCTTTGACGTGACCTAAGTCGTAGAACACGTCGTCCGCATATCACATGGTCCCCTCACGCGTATTATCACATGTGATAAGGGTGTTATCGCGTTCTCGTAAAATGGTGGTGTTCTTATTTGAACCTCCACCTATATGTGTGTATATATATATATATATATATATATATAT